TGTGTGTGTGTGTGTGTGTGTGTGTGTGTGTGTGTGTGTGTGTGTGTATATATATATATATTTTTTTTTTTTTTTTTTAAAATAAAACCACATAACGGAAGTGCAATGTGGGAAAAGAATACGGGTTTGGTTTGCAAACTCTCTGTAGCTTGGATTGGGACATTAGCATGAGGTCCTGAGTCTGAGTTTCCAGAACTCATTAAAAATCCAGGAGTACTGGGTTTGCTGGAGCACACCTTTAATCCCAGAGACAGAGGCAGGCGGGTCTCTGCCTCCATAGTAAATTCCCGGTGAGCCTTGTCTACGCAGTGAGGTCTAGACAGGCCAGAGCTATACAGTGATGCCTTGCATGAGCCAAACAGACATCAAACTTTGCAACCTGACCCTGTGACCTTCCTCTTGAGGGCAAATGGGCCGCAGGGGCAGAGGAAAGGTTCCTGAAGCTCACTGGCCAGCCTAGTCTAACGGAATAGCTTCAGGGTCAGTAAGAGACTCTCCCAAAAAATAAACATAGAGATCAATAAGAAAAAAGATACCTAATATCAACCTGAAGCTTACACATACGTATAGGTATATATATACACACACACACACACACACATATATATATACACACACACACACATATATATACACACACACACATATATATACACACACACACACATATATATATATATATACACACACACACACATATATATACACACACACACTCACACACACACACACACACACATATATATATATATATAAGTATATACATATATATATATATATATATATATACATATATGTACAGGTATATGTGGGTATATATCATGCATGTACCCACACTAACAGGTACACACATACCCCATCCCACCCTCACCAAACCAAACCAAACCAAACAAAACAAAACCCAAAAACCCATGTATCTTTCATGTTTCTCAAAAATTAGTCTAACTGTAGAAAACTAACAGGTTTATCCAGATAATGTCTATTATCTTCCATGAACGGCTTAACACTGAATCTTTCCCTGCCCAATAGCCCAGGCCTCCCTGCTGGGACCTGACTCCCTTAGATCCTGTGCCACATACCGGCAATAATTGTGTCTGCCCAGGCCGAGCGCCTGGGAGTTGGTCTTCCAGGCTGTATAACTCTTGCCTATCAGGACCATGGAATTCCACGGGAGGCAGGAGGCCTTGGATGTGGTGAGGCTTTGGGTGCCGCGATAAGTCAAGCCTTTTCCGATGTAGCAGTCCTCGCTTTTTCCTGGAACAAAACACATCTCAGGTTTAAGTGCTTACAGGTTGATGCAGCAAGGGCAGAGGTCCAGCAGGAAAGGGTCTGGGCCCCACCAGTGGTAAAGGGTGCTGAAGACGTTATAGAGGTTACTCTGATAGCCCATGCCGTGGGAACCAGGGTGCTGCAATGGGGCCATGCTGGGAACCCTGCTTTCTCAGCCTCACTCTGCCAACCTTGCCCTCTTCCACCTATCTGTCCCATCCTGCCCTTGTTCCCTTCCCGGTGAAACTGACCATGTTTGCCTCTCTACTTCAGGGTAGTTGAAAAGTAATCTTTATTCTTGAACCCACATGTTGACCAGATGAGGAAGGGATCAATAAGAGAGAAGCCATCGCCGGTACTGGAAACCTAGCCTGCTACCCAGGGCTGGTGAAGTCATGGATCTTGGAGGAGAACCTAACAACTGCTACTTTACTAAGCCAGCCTTATTCCTAACTACACTCTAAATACCTGTCCTTTTACCTGGCGGTAAGTATAGTCCTGACACTCAGCAAGGAATCCTCTTCAGGACAGATGGAGGTCATTACAGAAAGAAAACCAGAACTAATCAAAATGAGGGGATGTGGAGGCCAGTTCCAATGGGTACAAATACACATCTTAAGGCTCAGAGATCATTTCAGAAGAGAGGGCAGAAAGACTGTAAGAGACGCGGAGATCAGGGTTTGCTATGAGAATGGTCTTCTAGGAATGTCAGAATATATACCCATAAAGTCTCACCAACATGGCTGCTCAAGGACAAAACAAAAAAGACCCGCCAAAGCGAATGGAAGAAAGCCCGCAAGGCCTCAACTCTGCACAAAGACCTATAGGCAAATAAGGAATGCTGAGAATGGGAGGGAAGAGACATCTCCAGGGAAGAGTGTACCAAATGGTCAGCTCTGAAGACATACAGCCCTGTATAATGACTAACATTATGTAGATTGAGAAGGTTATATTTGGGAATATATATATAATATGTGGGCATGTGTGTTGTATGTATGTTTATATGCATATATATACATATATACATACATATGTATGTATGTATGCATATATATGTACATATATATATATGCATGTAAGAACTATTAATGAGGAAAGAGGCCATGAATTTTTTTTTAAAGCGATAAGGTTTATATGGGAGGGTTTGGAGAGAGGAAAGGGAAGAGGGAAAGAGTGTAATTATAATCTCAAAAAAAAAAAAAAAAGAAAGAAAGAATTTTTTAAAGAACCCAAAGGACTAGCAACTATGGGTTCAGCCTACTCACAGTGGCTAGCCCCTAGCCTGCTCCTTTCTTCCTTGGTATGTAAGGTCTACCCTCCCTCGGAGATGGCGCAGGGGAAGGTGCGGGGCCGTCACTCACCCTTCGGACAAGCAGGTACGCCGCAGTACTCTGAGGTGTACTTCCCGGCCTTAAACACGTAGCACCAGGGCTTCGAGTCTTGGTCTGGGTTTCTGAAAAATCAGCCCGGGGACGAGCAGTGAGTGTTGACCAGGAAGCCTCCCCTCCCGGCCCAAGGAGTAGGCAGGGTTAGGACATCTTGAGCTGAACACTGTCACACTTTACAATTTTAGGCAGAAACGTGGCTTCATTATGCTCTTTATTGGGGGGATTAAGCCTGGCATAAGGAAAAGTGGGAGAGTGCCAAGTTGACAAGAGAATATAATAACTGCCTATGTGTCAATATGGCTGAGCTGTAGTCTCTAGCATGTAATTAAACAGCGATCCAGGCACCACTATAAAGGTGTTTTGTAGCTGTAGTTAACACCCACAATCAGCTGAGTTCAAGTAAATTGTCCCAGAAAAGGAAGGTGGACTTGTCTAGTTAGTTTAAGGTCTAAAAGCATCAAGACAGCAAGGGCACTTCCTGCCTGAGTTCTAAGCCTTCTGGTCTACCCTACAATTACAGATTCAGATGGCCACACAGAAACATGAGCTGATGCCTTCAAATCAACCTCTGTTTATCTACCTAACGCCCTACCTGCCATCTATGTGTCAATGTATCAATCATCAACATGTGAATGCATTGACATATCTATGTATGTATTCATATATGTACATATTTATCATCTTTCTATCCATCTACATATATATCTATGTCTACATGCATGCATGCATGTATGTCTATATACATACATATATATGTATATATATAAAATGTATGACTGATTGGTCAAGTCTTCCCCTGAATGTGATACTTCTCACCAGAGATACTCCACGCTGCAGGAGACACTGCTTACCTGCAGTAATTATGATTCCCAAGGCCCAGCTTGATGGCATCCGGCCTCCTTGCATTGTAGGGCTTCAGGAACAGAACACTGCTGTTCCAGTTGACACACTCAGCCCCGTTTTCTGCCGTGCTCCACGTGCCCCTGTAGGTGATGCCCTGGTCCTCAAAGCATGTTGCTCTGGTATCTGATTGACAGAAGGACACCAAAGGGCTCTCAAGGGAACCTCTGCCTTGCCTCAGCACAGCTGAAGCTAGCTGGCTGCTGAAGCTTCTGGAGCTCACTGAGCTGGGTGGGCAAGATCACTCAACATACTCCAGCCAAGCCAGACTGAACTGACACTCCAGGCTTTGACCACTGGGCCCAATACTGTCATTCTCTAAATGACCTCAGCTCTCCTCCCCTAGGCCCTGCCCTCCAGCACATATTTCCTTTCCTTTCCTGATCCATTAGAGAGGCAGAATGCCTCTCACACCCACCCATCAAAGCACTCACCTATGTCACAGTGCTTCCCAATAAATCCATCAGGGCACTGGCAGACAAAGTCGGAGAAATACAGGGCCTGCTGACACGTACCTCCGTTGAAGCATCTCGGTTCACTGCAACCTGTCAAGCACAAACAGGGAAACCCCTACTTTCAAAGCGGCTCCAAGAACGCAAGATTAAAACTGCAGAAGTGTTCTGAGTGTCAGCCACTGTGCCACGATTCACAGCATCACGAACCCCACTGTCAACTACAAGGCATGCACAGTATTCCCCGAGACTGGGCAAGTGCAGGCCCTCCCCCTGCCTCAGATTTCTGGAATGCTTTCACCTTTGCCTGGGTAGATGACCCTCAAAACATGCTGAAGATCTGAATATGCGAGGGAGGGTATGAGCCCTGAGCCTGAGCTCAAGGGCAAGGCGTCCATGAGGAGCTGGTACGTACTTCTGACAGGCACGGAGTGGCACTGCGCCCGGCCACTGCTGCACCAGCAGTATTCTACCCGGCTGCTTCTGAGCATGGGGCGCAACCACGACTGGTGCTGTTGGTATGTCATCTGTGTTTGCTCATCTCTGCAGGTCGCTGCAACACGAAACACGTTTTGTCTTTTGGGGACACACTCAAAAAGAGAGGAAGGACTCCTGCCTCTGCTGACAACATACAATGAACCCACTGTACCTCCATGTTCTGTGGTGAGGTCTACAGGGGCGCTGTGGTGAGGCCTACAGTCTGTACTGAACATAGGTGGGGTTCTTCCTTGTCATTATTCCTTACAAAACACATTATAATGCCCAGTTATTTTTATATCTGGAATTATAGCATTTATACTACATTGGATATCATGGGTAATCTGGAAGCGATTTAAAGTTAGATGAGAAGATGGTTTTAGTACAAATATCATGTCATTTTACAAAAAAAAAAAAAAAAAGATTTAAGCATCGGTAGATTTTGGTATCCCAAGGAGGCCTTAGAACCAATCCCCAATAGATAGGGTGACCATGATCTACTGTGTATTCCTTAGGAATACGATGAAGATAAACACATTTTTTTTCACAAGAACTCTTTATTATTATTGTCTTCTTTGGATGAACCTTTGTTTTGAGATACTTTGACTATGAAAACAAATTTATATAAAGTAAGTCTATTTTCCCACTTTAACCAATCAAAAAGAAAGCTGGGTAGTGGTGGTGCATGCCTGTAATCCTGGCTCTCAGGAGGCAGGTGGATCTCTGAGTTTGAGGCCATCCTGATCTAAGAGACAAGTTCCAGAAGAGCCAGGGTTACAGAGAGAAACCCTGTCTCAAAACAAACATACAGCATCAGTTGAAAATACACCTCTCTGTATAACTGTCACGAGAGTTTCCACAAGAGTATTTCCATATAGAAAAGATACACTTTTAGCTAAGATGGAGGAAATTGGCACTTAAATCTGTCAGAAAATGTGCTACTTGCATTAGTATTTTTCATGTAGCAAAATTACAGCAGACATTTAGTAACTCCCCTTCTAAGAAAGTCTTGACATGATCACAGGTACATGAAAGCAGAGCAGAACTGGCACAGCTGCCTTTTACTTTGTCAGACTCTTGTCTGACTCTGCTGACGTACATTATTTATCTAGTGTCTGCTCAAAAGCCAGTGATACCAGGGAATTCTATTCCTCTTCAAGCTGAAGGGACAAAGATTACAGCAACTGAGGCAATTCCCGCTCCAGATTCTAAAGGTCTGCAATAATCTTGCTAAGGCTGCAATCACCTTGGCTTCCAGAAACAGCAGATCTTGGCAGGGCAGATAAACCCAACTCTAGCAGAGCTATTATCCACAAAGTGGACGTTGGGCCTAGAAGGGGAATAGCATCTTGTGGGAGCCAGGCTCTTCACTCAGGCCACATCTTGAGCAGAGCTGCTTAATTCAGCACACCTCTTCCCCTCTACTCTGGTTCATTCTCTAAGGCTGTTAGTGCCACAAGCGACAGACTTCGGACACTGAACCCCTTTATTTGTTCTTCAGTGTTTTGAAAAGTATTCCAAAGCCAGGCCTGGTGGTGAATATCCGTAATCTCAGCACCTAGGAGGCTCAGGCAGGAGGATTGCTGAGTTTGAGGCCTACCTCAGTTATATGGCGAGTCCCAGTCCAGACTGGGCTATATAATTAGACTACTTTATCTACAAAACAACAACAAAAAATCCACAAAACTAAAAAAGAAAGAAAATGAGACTGAGAGAAAGGCCTAGCACCTCCTCAATCCCCCAACTCCCCAGATAAAAAAAAGAGTGATGGGAGAAGAGGGAAGGATAGAGGAGGAAAGGAGGAAAAAGAAGGGAGAGAGAGATTTAGGGAGTCAGAGACAGAAATGGAAAGATGGAGGAGGGAGTGAGTGGGAAGAGGTAGAGAGAGGCGGAGAGATATGGAGACAAACAGAGACCAAGGAAGAGAGGGAGGGAAGGGAAGAGAGAGAGAGAGAGAGAATGGAATGGAATTGTGGTTTGGGACCTAAAGCTGAACTTAAGAGTTTTTTGATTTAAAGTCAAGTCAGTTTTTACTCTTCTTGGAATCGTGATGGAAACGTTTGCTTTCTAGAATCAACTCAAGACATGAACTTACATAGAAAATCTTGTCGCCAAGTGTCTGTGAGTTAGCCCAGGTCAGTTATCCAGGTTTTACCAACAGGGAACAATGGACACACGGGGAAGCAGCAGATACTGAGCGGAGGCTGGTGGGAGCACAGCCCGGGAGCACCCAGAGACTGAACAGCTAAGCATTCCTGGCTCTGCTGTGGGGTGGGGGTGGGCTCCTTTCATAGCCATAGGTGAGTCATCTGCTTTCTTTAAGGGTTTTTTTCTCATCTCTGCATCAAATACTTTGAGCCATGTTGAGACAAGGTCTCACGGTGTCCCACAATGGCCTTGAACTCATGATCCTCCTGCCACAGCCTCCCAAATGCCGGTATTATAGACATGTACCACGCACACCCAGCTATCAGTCACCAGCTTTATTATCTCCTGACAGCCTGGAAAGCTTCCCCTGGGAACCAGGCTGGCTTGCTACAGCTGAGCCGCAAATGGTGAGTAAGCAGGCATCGTCAGGAAAGCACCCGGAAGATCTCACAACCATCTCGCAAGTGGGTACTAGGTTGAAAGATTGATCCACTGACAGTCAAAAGCAGTATGAGGCCTGGGACTGCCTGTCCCAACGCCCCCTCACCTCTGTAGGACCGGGCTCCTCTTCTGAACCTGTTGTGCAATCCCTGCAGAGAGACCAGATCAGAGGAAGGGTTAGCTCAGGCTGGGGACGATCAGGTGCCGCCGGATAAGGAGCTGCCCTTTAGAATATTGTTTTCATAGCTTTTTGTCAAATATCTGCTCTTTCTACACACCTAGTGCCCTGCCCCCCAGTTCCCCAAAAACTTTTGGCATAACAGAAATGCTTCCCACTTGTCTCGTCCAATGTGGTGGTCGCTAATTCCACGTGACCACAGACTGCTTAAAATGTAGCCAAGTGTGACTGCTGATCTGAGCTCCCAGTATGGTTTCCTTCACTTTAAATTTAAGCTGGGGCACTCGGTTAGTGGATTCCAGTGGACAGTAAAGCTGCGGTCCTTGTGTCCTTCATGGGGCCGTTAGGACGCTATCGTCTCGAAAAATCCTCTGCCCGGGTGTTGCTCATTTGGCCTTTATCTAGTGCTCTGTGTTGAGATGAGCTTTGGGAAAGTGCGTACAGCTTCTGTCCCCATCAGGTTCGATGGCTCATGATGCCTGTCTTTTCTTAGGACCCCCTGGGCTGGGCCCCACACCCTGGGCCCTGCACAAGCTCTTTTATCACTGGGCTTCACCCTAGCCCTTGGTTCTTTGAAGCCTGTGTTAATCTCAAATGTGTGACCATCCCGCCTTGGCCTCCTCACTGGTGGGATTGGACATAGGCACCACCATGCTCTCTCAAACATACCCTTTAACAAGACGACTCCACACAGACAGTCAAAGGCAGGGAAGCACATTAAGAACTGTTTTAAGTCAGAGCCGTGGCCAGATTCTACTGCTGGGACTTGAATCCTAAGTACCCTATCCAAAGGAGAGCATGTGCTGAATGTCTGTGACTGGTCCTGGGAACGTCTCCCACCCTGACGTACTTGGGAGCATGAAGACTCCTGGTTACACCACCAACACCTGGGTCTGGTGGCCTGATCGGGTGAGGCGCGGAGGTGGACCTACCTTGTCAGGCAACGTGAAAACCACCCCGAAAAGCAGCAGAACACACAGCGGCTCACTCTTCATTTTGCTCCCAGTTTCTTCGGTGTCCCCTAAGTTTTAGAAGAAAAATAAAAGCAATGAAGCAAGCGATGTGGGAGGACAAAGGAAATTCAGGACCGTCGCTTTATTTCAGGTGACCCTTCCAGCACTGACTCTTGCAGACACTGGGAGATCTTACATACATCTGTCTGTCTAGAGACAGAGACATAGGGGTGTGTGAGAGAGTGTGCATGGAGAGTATGCAGTGGTATTAAATTAACCACCTTCTGCATTAAATATTCAGCTTTAAACACGCACAATGCTGCTGTGCACGAATCCCATCACCCCATCCTTGTGCAGAACTTGATCACAGCGAACTGAAATCCCTTAGTCGTCAAAGAACGGCTCTTTGCTCTCCCAACCCTTGGCTGTCATTCTACTTTCTGTGCCTGTGATTTTGACTATTTGCATATATCATAGACATGTAATCACTCATGTCACCCTTTTACACCTTTATAGATGAAGGCCCCCTGGCGGGATTATCTCGAAGGGTCATCCACACTGTAGAGTGCTTGCTCTTTCTGAGGCTGAACGATATTCCATTGTTTGCTTACACCTCATCTCGCTTGTCTAGTTATCTGCTGGTGGATGGATAGTGGTTGCTAACAGTGGTTTTTCCCAGAGGCCCCTGTGGGCTGAAAAGTAAGATTGTCTCTGGTACTTCGTGGCCAGCCAGGGCCCAGCTTCCTGGGAAGGGATCCCTGGGTTGGGGGTGAACTAGGAGTCCTCTCTGCCTATCTCAGAAGCAGCTGTAGGGATTCGACTGCTGGCACGTGACTGTGCCCAGCCACCTGCCTCAGATGCCCTGGCTTTGGTGACTGTAACGGATGGTGCTGTGTCTGAGGCATGGGCTCCTTCTTCCATCAAAGGGAAGGCTCCCTCCATGTCGGCCCCGGTTCCCTCCGGAATATCTGCCTCTTGTCATGTGGACTCACAGATCTGGTGAAGAGCAGATCTGCGGAAACTGGCAGCACTTGCTGTTTGGTCAGTGGACTCACGTCTCCCTTGACCCCCGGATCCAGTTTCCACTTGCCTTCCCCCAGCTTTCTGCTTTGGGTCTGAAAGTAGGTTAGTTGGCCTGGTTGTTTTGTGGCCTGGCAAGCCCTCTCACTCCTCCATCCACAACATCAAAGCAGGACTTCCCTTCCCTGACTCATTTCCCTTCAGTCACAACAACTCCGACTCCCACCCCTGTCCACTCAGGCACTCAGAAGCCACTGGCTCAGAAGTTAGCAGGACCTGACTTCTCTGTGTCTTTGAAAAGAACTGCCTTTTGGGAGTGCCGCCTGTCCTTTTCCCTGGTCCCAAGATACCTTCAGCTCCAAGGCTGAGCTTGGAGACTGCTATCCTCTGGATTCATCTGAGGCTTCTGGGAGGGAATTCCGAGGAGGTAGGGAAGTCAGGCAAGAGGAGTAGAGCAACAGTGGTTCAGTGAGAAAGTGCATGTTGGGATGATGCTGACAGGCAGAGGAGGGAGAATAGTCACTGGAGGGAGCCCAGAGCCCCGGTGGAGGGAGAGAGAGAGGGTGCTGGGGGAGGAAGGCAGCAGAAGTGGTTGTGTGAGAAAATGCAGGAGTCCTGTCCTGCTGGACCTGCCCCTCACAACTAGTCCCCAATGGCAGGGGTAGAAGGGCTCCTAGGATCTCTGCTCTTCTTGACCTGCCCCTGGCAGGGTGGACTGGGGCCAGCTGCGCTAGCACCTGTCTTTGGCAATCCCAGAAGGAAGGAAGTGGCAGTGGAGGCCGCCCGAACAGGCATGTGGAATCCTTCCATGGGTAATTTTCCCTTTCTCAGCTTTCTTTAACCTTTCCCTTTCCCAATTTCCCCAACCTTCCACCTGAATTCACCCTTAAGTTAGATGTAAGTGCAGATCCCTCCTGATTTTCCCACCTTCACCACCTGGTAGCCCAGAGGATAGGAAGTATCTGAACTACTTTTACAGATGTGATTCAGAAACCCACCCCTCCCCCTTTTCCAATTAATCAGCACATGGGGGGGGCGGCTTTCTGGGTCTCTGTTCTTAACACCTACTAAGTTACTGGGGTTATTTTTGTCGTTCTGTGATAGGATCTTGCTATGGAGTCAGTTTGGTATCGATGACAGAGAAACTAGTTCAATCCTGTTTCAACCCCTGGAATGCTGGGTTTCTTAGTGACTTTTCTATTGCTGTGAACACAGTACAGAGTCCAAGGCAACTTATAAAAGAAAGCATTTAGCTTGGGGGGGGGGTTTGCTCACAGTGTCTGAGGGTGAGTCAGTCCGTGACCAGAATGGCAGGGAGCTTGCAGCAGGCAAGCTTGGCATGGAGAAGAAGCTGAGCCCTAACATCTTGAGCCATAAGCAGGAGGATGGGGAGGGGGAGCTAATTGGGAATAGTGTGGGATTTTTAAACCTCAAAGCCCACCCCAAGCATTCAAATATGAGTGGGGGGTCACTCTCATTCAAACCACCACACTGGAAATACAGGAATTCCCCACCATGGCCACCTAACTCAAGGCTCTCTAGGTGTCAGATAAATATGCAGAGTTTAAAAGTGCATTGCTGATACAAACGCTCACCCCTCTCCAGGAAACCGGCTCTGCTTCTGGATAACAGGACAGAGGGGCCAGCAGGTAAACAGGGCTAGCTGTGAAGATGCCAACAGTCACATTGCATCATGGGAAGCCCCTTCTCCACAGGAGACAGGAGCTTGTCTGCATCTGAGCTTTTGGCCTTGCCGGGCCTTGAGCCAGTGACAATGAGTTGCACATAAGAGACGTATAAGCAGCTCTTTTCTCATTCCATGGAGCAAGCTGCTGGATGGCTGGATGAACCACACATCCTAAGAGGATGATGGGGAAATGAATCACATGCCAGATGAAAAACAGTGTGGTCCCAAAGCGGGAGAAAGCGACGGAGGAAAGCCATGTTTGATTTTGTGGGAGATGTGGGTGGTGAGGTCACGAGCAATGCAGGGGCAAAAAATAAAGCAGACCTAACCTGGAGGCTTACAGCCTGGGGGATGCCCTCCCGGAGCTCACCAGAGGTGTTCACGCGTGCTCACAGGAGGCCAGCGTGGGAGTTAAGGACTGCACCTGAGGCTGGCTTTAAGCTTACAGACGGCGTAAACTTGTTTTTTCCTGTGTCCTCTTCATTTTGCATATATAGTAATTTCCCACTATTGTTAAGGAACTAAAATGAAACAAAAACAAAATAAAACATGCAAGCAAGAAGGAGGAAAGGAGGAAGAGAAGGGATGGGAGAGGTAGCAAAGACGACTGTCTTAATTTTGTTGTGCTAATAATCCCTAAATACTGGGAGGTGATAGAATGCTGTAAGACTTCTCACCTCCAGGTCCTGGAGTCCTAGCCCTGGAGGGCCCACCCTTGCACAGAAGTGGATTTTACAGATTTGAAAGAAGCGCTTTCTTTAGTGGTAGCTCAGGCTCAGGACTTGGCAAGTTGACAGAGCTTCTATATGAACTAGAAGATACAGGGAGTATGGCTTTGCCAACAGAGCCCAGTCTACATTTCCAGGAAGTGTGTGCAGGCATTCCTGTGCGGTATGCATTCGCCGGCTGAATCTTCTTCTCAGATACACGTGCATCTCACGGGCAACTCCGTCTGGATGCCACGTGCAGTCCTGTCAGCCATGGCAACCATGACACCATTAACTGCCCCCTCATCTGCAAGTGATGGGGGAAAGGGAAGAAGATAGGGAGCTTGCTAGAAGCTGGCGATAGCCTGTTCCCAAGAACCCAGAGCATGGGCCATTTTGAGAGAGGGATGTGGTATCAGAAGCATACCACCTTGATGGATGCCAGGCAGTGACTGCTTGATCTTGGATTGGACAAAGCTACTGGAACAGTAATAAGCAGGTTGACAGAAAAGGCAGGTGGAAAAGGTGGAAAAGGCAGGTGATACGTCCTCAGGGCCTTTGCATGACCACATCCTCTTGACATTTCTCACAAAGCTGTTTTCCCCCAACAAAGTCTGCTCTTAGAAAGGAATGTAAGAACTCATTCACAGAAAGGAAAACTGCCTAAATATGGTGCTGCTCCCCATACTGAGACAGAAAAGGAACTCCCAGCAAAGCAAACCCAAATGGCTACACTCTTGGAGGGCTCCTTCTGAGATCTTTTTTCTGTAAATGGATAAAGTGCTTTTACTCATACACCAGCCATAGCTCCCTTCTTTATAGTATATAGGAAAGTGATTTGTGATATAGGACCTATATACATGTGATCAGCTATATGTGTTGGGTCTGAGGTTGTGTGTCAGTTATGCTGTTGTTTATTACTTCAGTGTTGGTGTGTGGGAGGCCTTGAACTCTGTACTTGAGCAAGGGAGCCAGCAAGCTAGAAGAGGCCAGAGCCTGACAGGGGAAGGCCACTTGGAAACCCACTGTCAAATTTTGGACTCTGTGCTAGGCTGTACTGCTTCCATCTTTGCCAAGGACACCCTGGGTTCTTATTCTTATTGGAATTGAAAATTTCACGGAGATTGGAGTTGGACAGTCAGGAACAATAACCCTAAAATAACACATGGCCTTGAAGCCACACTCCCACCCACACTCAACCACCACAGCCCACAAAGCTGACAAAGGAGAAAAGAAGTCTCCTGAGCTCCTTCACCATCACAGAGTAAGAGGTGAGCTGAGTCGATTCAGTAGGAACTGGGCTTGGGAAAGTTCATCTTTGGGCCTGTCTTAGTGGCACACTCCTGGAACCTTAGCACTTAGAAGCAGAGGGACAAGGACCACAACAAATTTGAGGCCAACCTGGACTACATATCAAGGTCCAGCCAGGCAGAGACCCTCCCTCAAAAGAAAGGAAAATCGCCTTGCTTTTCCTCATCTAAGCAGAGACAGCCCCCAACACCCACCTCTGCCTCCCAAAGACCATTCAGTCTATGGGTTTTATTTGTCTCCTTTCGTAGGGAGTAAACATACCAGTAATTAAAAAATCATGCTGAACAAGTTAGGCTCCACTGTTGACCTACATTCCTAGCCCTTGGTCTTTTGTTTCTGGGGCCTTGCTATTTGTTTTTTGTTGTTGTTTTATTTTAGACAGGATCCCCCTATGTAGCCCAGGCTGGCTTAGAACTTGCTGGATCCCTCAGACTGGCCTTGAACTTTTGATCTTCCCACGCTTGCTTACTGAGTGCTGCTATTACAGGCTTGCACCGCCACACCCAGCCAAACTATTTTCAAAATCTACCATCCTGGAAGAAACTCTTGGGCTGATGAGACGGCTCAGCAGGTTAAGGCACCTGCGCTCAACCCTAGGGTCCCACGTGGTGGGGAAGAGAATCAACTCCTAGAGGTTGTTCTCTGATCCCAAGTATGCCTGTGTGTCTCACACACAGGCACAGATGCACAAATAAATAAATATAAATGTGATTTTCAAAAGTATTTCTTAACTTCTCAAAAAAGTAATTTTCCATGAATCAAATGCTTATTTTCTCCTTTCAGTTTTGAACAGAGTTCTTTATAACAAGGAGAGAAGAAGGTTTTCCTTTTTTCCTTCCTTCCTTCTCTCCCTCCTTCTTTGTCTGTCTGTCTGCCTTTTTGATATAGGGTCTCATGTAACACAGGCTGGCCTTAAATTTGCTGTGTAACTGAGGTAGCTGAGGCTAACCCTGATCCCGTCTCCCCAGTACTTGGCAGAAGTCACCTCTTGCTTTAAGTTGACCAGTTACAAGGGGATGAAGATGAATTGATTAGACCCCTCTCTGGAAGCCCCCCCCCCCATCAGAGTAGGTGTAGCATTTTTAGCACATAGGCAGGACTTGTGTCTGAGCTACATAGAATTAGCCTGAAACAACCATGCTCCTTGGTGACCCTCCTGCTCTCCCTCCCACCAGGGGCCTGGTTTGACAGAAGTAAGCAAGTGTTGGTTGTTGGTTTAGGAAGTGTATCCTACATCCTCTTGGAATAGAAACAAAGGAAACTAGCTTTAATGACCTCATATCCTTCTGAAGAAAAAGCAAGTTCAGCCTGTCAGCGCCACGAAATGCTCACTCTGAAGAGTCTAAACAAAGAAAATCCAGGATCCATCTAATCTCCTTGGCTCCTTCCACTCCCTGAAGCGAAGGCCACCCTCCCCAGGTGCAAAGAGTTAACAATGAAATAATCTGGTAATGCCTCAGTCTGTCTCTAGATACTAGCACTCTTGAATCAGGAGGTCATGGTCAGACGTGTTCATGAAGTCATCCCATGAATGTATCTGAATCTTAACCAGCCTTTCCGAAAGTAGCACTGCAGCGAAGTGTGCCTAGATGAAAGCCACTGACTCAGAAGGGATCTTAATACCTATCACTTGCTGGCTTTGAGTTTTCAAAGCACCTTATAGCAATTATTAATCACTTTACAGCTGTGAAAACAAGACAGACCTTCCAAAGCCTCCTGAGCTATCCCAGTCTCTGACCTCTTCCCACTAACTGTGTGTACCTGTACGACACTTGCTTGTGACATTTTGTTTTTAATTTCTGGTGCTATGGATTAGACCCAGAGAGCCTTGCACATGCTAAGCGCCTGTTCAACCACCAAGCTACAAACCAGCCCTGCTAGTAACATTCTTAAAGTGCCTGGAGAGAGCTAGCGTTTCTCAGTGCAAGGAACATGACCCTTGAACTCTCCACTTAGACCACCAAGAACCACTCACAGGTCTGGGTGGGTGAGATTGCCTGTCTGAGCCTTAGTTTCCTGGGCTTCCTGGTGAGCTAATCATTTCCATCTTGTATATTTTCCCGAAGTTAAACAAGTAATAGATACAGACCCCAGAAGCCTGACACATGGCATGTGAGCACTGCACTTGACATGAATGCCCCCCATCAGCAGGACGCAAGCCACTGACAGAGAAGAGGCACCAGGCTCTCTGGGGTCCTCATGGTCTTCCACGGTTAAGAACAAACCCCTCTTCCTAGCGCATATGACATCGAAAATGTCATGCTCTTGCCCAGAGAGCAGTATGAGCAGGAGCCATTATTTCCTGAAAGCACAGTGACAGCCTGTATCCCCTCAATGTTTTCTTATTTACCTTTCCCAGGCCAATTTACATCACACAGCAGGGCCCCTGATACTCTTTGGGAATTTGGAATTTGACTCATCTGGCCGCTTCCATGTGGAGTCCTTAATCCTTAGATGTAAACTAATTCGCTTCCACACAATGGACTTTCAGTACAAACGTCCACAAGGTGTGGGGCTACACCCTGGCTCTGCAGTGATCATTTCAGAGAGTCCAGGTGGACTTAGGTCTTCTAAGTCAATCCCCAAAGAAAATCCTAGATGTCTCTGTCCTGACGTGTGTCGGGGGCAGCAGCACACAGGCTGCACACCTCAGCAGGACCTGGCAATCATGGGTCACCCCCAGGATCTTGGCCAGCGGCTCGGCAAGCACTTCTGAGGACACGAAGTCCTTTGCTGCCGGAGAACAGCTGGCTTGTGTTCCCTGGGCTGGGCTGACACATCTCTCCTGGGCTGCGCCTTCGAACATGCCAGAGAACATGTGTGCTACATGGCCGGCAATCCGCTTCATTTGCTTTCCCAGTAACCGGGAATTGAGTTTATCTGACCTTGTACTCCTAACTATAAAAATTTGTCTCCCATGAAAGTAGGCAGCTGGGTCAGCATTAAAGAGACCAAGGCTTTGAGAATAGACCTGGAACTTACTTTTTCTTTCTTTCTTTCTTTCTTTCTTTCTTTCTTTCTTTCTTTCTTTCTCTCTCTCTTTCCTTTCTTCCTTCCTTCCTTCCTTCCTTCCTTCTCTCTCTCCCTCTTTCTCTCTCTCTCTCTCCCTCTCTTTCTTTTTCTTCCCGAGATAACCTCTCATGTAGCCCAGGCTAGCCTTGAACTCTCAATCTTCTAGCCCCATCTCCTGGAGATGGGGCACACGCACATTGCATGGTGCTGGGAATCAAGCCTAACGGCCCCCTGCACACTAGGAGAACCCTGCCAGCCGAGCTACAGCCCAGACTCCAGCTCTGATTTTCTATAAATCTGGGTCATTGGCACTCGACTGCATTTGAAGTGAGGCCCATCACATTGCTAGCTCAAAGCTCGAACTCATTCCTCATTTCTGCGTTTAGGTGCCTCGTGCAGAATTTTCTGCCAGTATGCCCAAAGCAAATGGCTCCCCAAAAGGAATAAACAGAATATTCCAGTTCTCCATGGTCCCATTTTATCAGATCAAAGCTGAAATCACTGGGAGAAAAACAAAGAAACACAAAAACTATTCTGGGACAATAGGTGGACAGTTGCCAAGTACTCAGACTGCACCCTCTCAACTCAGACCGCAAAAGGCTCTCACTCAAAGAGACGTGGTATCTCAGAGAAGGGTGTGAGCTTTACGCTTTGAACGGCGCTAAGCTTACTACCATTGCTAATGAGCCGTGGCCTCCGTCATTAGAATGACAACAACCACATGTGTTTTCACCTTACAACGCTCACACCAGTCTTTCCAGTTGATGAAGCCTGCAGCCGGCTCTGAGTCACTCTCAGCTTTGGCTGAGCGCACTGCTTGGCGAGGACTATTAATGTGCGCAGCTCTAGGTTTCATCAGTCCTCAAAGCCTTGGTGGAAACACGGATGCCCCTCAGCTCCTCCCGGCTTCATCACGCATCCCGAGTCCGGGGGGAAGCAGACTCGATGCTGTATATCTCACAGGAGGCTTCCCAAGTAATCCAGGGCTGTCCTGGAAAGTCTGCCCTAATTCAGTCTGGCTGGGGGTATGCGGCTAGCATCGTTCCTACCAAGATACAGGCTCCTGAAAACACTTCACACGGAATGGGCAGGATGTTTAGCGTTGCCAGTATCCGGCCTGGGACTGAATATAACTTAATCCTCACTGGCAGCATACACTCGGCATGCTACCGACCTGCACTGATTGGTTCCGGACAGCCCAGGGTCTGGATCTCCAATTGTTCTTGTGATGTGCTCACAGGATTGTAACGGCCACCACCACCACACACGCATTTTGTGTATGCCCTCTCTCCCTGTCCCACTCCATTATCAGCTGTGGAAGACCACAGAATCATCCCAAGTTGGCCACTTGCCATGAAGTGGCCAACAATCATAAGGCATTGCTACTCCAGGGCTTTGCAGCCAAGTTTGTCGTCCTTAGCTATCTGAGAACTCAGCATACTTTCCTTCCCTCCCCCACCATCCATCCTCCCATGGTCTCTGTGAGGTTAAGAAAGCAAAGGTCCTGATAGACTCCAGAGAGCCTTTAGACTTTCCCTGCTGCAGCGTGAGGAAGCAAAGGCATTGGTGCATGGTGAGCGAGGGGTGAAACTGGTAAAACATTGAGAGGATGTGATTAATGCTCCAAGAGACCAGAGGCAGTTTTGCATCCTGACTTCCAGTGGTAATGAGAAGCTCCGAAAAGTCCCGGCTTCTCTCTCCCAGCCCAGTTAATCATGCTTCGTAGGCAAATGTCCCTCGTTGATGCCCAGCCTGTTTTTCAGTTGGTCCACTCAGGGAAGAAGGCTGCCACACAACACCCTCGGACCCCGTTGGCTCTCCAAGACAGCTGAATCGAGTTACTGCCCTTTAGTGCCTCTCCCATTGTCTGTTCAGAGTCATTCTTTTTACTTTCTCCCCTCATTGTGCAAGCAAGACTTCTGCAAGAAACGTCTCTCTCCTATTCTCCCTCTCCGAATCACTTCAGCTTACCTGGAGTCGTTGCAAAGAATTCTCCCTTCTGTGTGGATTTTAGCTGGTCCTCTTTCTGCCTGAATTACAAATCTGTGCTTCCATTAAGCATTCCTTCACTGGCTGTTTGTCTCCCCCAACCCCACCTCCAAAAAAAAAAAAAAATGGTTTAAAGGGAGAGAAGGGGAGTTGGCTGTCAAAAAGGTGCAGAAATCCAACGTACCTCAAGTTCCTGCTTCTTTCCCACCCTTGCAGGGGCTTCTCGGTGCTGAGCTGTTGTTGGGTTCCCGCAGATTCTGTCTTCCCTGCACAGCGCAAGCCAATTTTAAGGATGAAGGAGGGGTGGGGCCAGCGGCTCTGTGTAGGCGGGTTTCTCCTGTGCTGGTGGATGCGGGGTGACCCGGTCTCTAAGGAGGGGGAGGAAGTGCACGCCGAGGAGCAAGCACAGCTAGTCTTGGCTTGGTGCCAGCTTAATTATTCACCATACTGATGTCATCGAATCACAGGAATTTTCAGAGTTGGAAGGGACTTAAGAATCATCCTGTTTTAAAATCCTGGTCTCAAAAGGCCTAAAAGGGATTGTGCTCTAAGCCCCTGTCTTGATTACAAGTTAATAGTTATAAACAGCCCCGCCTCTCTAGCATGAGGAGGGGAGGGCTTCTGGAATTTGAAGCAGCTACCCCTTAGGACACACGGACAATCAACTACCAGGCAGACGGTATGCTGGGTTGGGAGTGACAGGGGACAATAAACACATGACGGCAGAGCTGTTGATGTTCTCCCTACTTCTGACCCTTGGCTGAGGCTTCTCAGAGAAATTGAGAAAAGTGAAAGGCTGGAAAGGTCCTTCTGCCTCAGCCCTCTTGAAATTCCATCCCAAGCCATCCTCCTCTGACCCCCTTCCCTAGCCCCCCACCAGGGGAGGGGCAATGAAAGTTTCTGAAAACTGCCCTTCTGATGGCCTACAGCCCTTTCACGACCTACAGAACCCTCAGCAGAGCCAGGGCCCCCAAGTCGCCCAGAATTCCAGTGTTGTCTTCCTCTGCAGCTGTCTACACACTGGATGGGCTCTGGTAGCAAGTGGCCTCTGTCTGTCGCTCTCCGCTGGTGTGTAGCCCAGAGCAGGGTTTCTCAGTAGCCACAGGTGCACCGCGCTTTGCTGAAATGCACACAAAGGAAAGACAGCAGCTAAAACTGGGCTGCCTCTGAACTCACCTCCCCAGCCCCCACCCCGACCCGGATTTCTACCCCCTGTGAGTCTGTTTCCCTACTCAAACTGCAGGGAGCTGGAGGAGCCAGACGTAGGCAAGAGAAGCTGATACCATGACAATGGGAACTTTGATTTTAGTCAAAGGACTGCTATGGGGGAGGGGCGATGAAAATAAATCTTGGTGACATCACAACCTGGGAAACTTGCCTAGAAGCCCTTTGCTCTCATGAGAAATCAAATCCAAGTGCGATAACACGGGGGCTGACGGATAAGAAAAAGAAGAGTGAAGAAAGAGTCTCTAAGGCTAGCTTCTGTGATGGGGTTCTCTCCGCAGGATGGGTGCCACCTGTGGGGGCACAAGGCTCAGAGAGCGCTTTGTCAGGGCAGTGGACAGGTGACAAGGCACCAGGACAAGAACTAAGTAAGACCAAGAACTAAATAAAAGGTGATGGGATTCCTGAGAAGCCCAAGGAAAGACGCTGGCAATGTCGCTGTTAACCAGGAGGCAGGCTTACTGGCTTACTGGTGGGGAGAGCCTCCTTCCAAGCGGAAACTGAGTTTTCAAAGATAAATGAGGTTAGTATCCAGATGACATTACGGGGTCCTACTGGGGTACAGCCCCTGAATGGCATGCCATGGTTGGTCCTGTCTTGAACTTAGACCCTGCTAAGATCCAAGGCTCACAGACCCGCCTCCCCTGGCCCACTTCTCCCAGAGGATATATGTGTGGGCTATTAACAAACACATGATGGTGGCAAGGAACTTTTTTTCTGTGGTGAAACTTTTCTTCTTGCCGCCAGAAGGTAACTCCTCACCCATACTGCTGTAAGTCACCCCAGTCAAGCTCGCTGTTTCATTCTCCAGGCTAGTCTCCTGGACTTCTTTCTTTTGTCTGTCCCCAGTCCAGGGTGAATAAACGTTTGTTCATATTTGTTAAATGCAGCATCTATTGTCTAGGCCCTCCTCTAGACTAGAGACTTACACTGGCCACCTGGCCCAGGTGTGTGAATCGCACACTCATACACACCCTGAGAAACAATAGATAGGACAAAGTGAAATATGAATGTAGCCCTCAGAGACGGTGCTGCCCCTGAAGAATTGCTTACCGGGCTGAACAAGAGGGATTTGCACTATTCTTACAAACTGCTAGTAAGCTTGAAATGATAAAAATGAGAAGTGAAAAATCAGGCAATTCTCTTAGATTAGTAATTCTTTAGAATTTTTAATCTAACAAGTTTTTCAAATCCACATATGATTATAATAGATCTAAAACATTGGGTTCTGTCTGTCTGTCTGTCTGTTCTGTGTGTTTGTTTCAGAACTGGCTTTGTAACTCAGGCTGACCTTGAACTCTCTCAAGAATGCACCATCAAGCCTCCTGTAAAACAGTTTTGACTATGCGACAATGAAAACAATTTAAAAGTTAAAAAAAAAATAGAGGAACAATGCCATACAGTGTATCAGCATAGTACAGTGTTATATAGCTTGAGGATGGTTGATAGCATATATATAGACATACCAAAAATTAGAAGTATAACCTTGCTCCATAGTATGTGGAAAACAAATTCGTGTATGAGCTGTGATGCAAACTCTATAAACCCTCAGGAATGAGCGGATAAAGATTAAATCGTGTGCTATAACGACTGGTGGAAATAACCCACCAGTCATGGTACCTACACACTACTTTGAGAAGAAAAAAAAAAGTGACTTCATACTAGATGCAGGCATGCCCAGATGTGCCCAGCCCATGAATCTGGCACCAGCATGAGGAAGCAGCAGCTGTCCGTAGGACCAAATTCCAATGATAGAAATTTGCCTTGAATAACTTAGCATGGACTTGTTCGAGAATTTATTCAACATCTTCCTAAATACATTGTATTTTCGGTCAGTTCCTTGGGAGTGGGAGTCAAGTTTGGATTTCCTTTCTCTGGGCCCACGGCCACCTCCGTTGAGCTACCACTCCGGCAGGTAGTCACCCGAGAGCTATGTGGCCCAAGGCGGACACCCAGGTTGGACACCAGGAAGTTTGTTCTCTCCTCTCTGTTTGCCTTGTGTTTAGATCTGCTTTCTTGTGTTTCAGCTGAGAATGGTAGACTCACAGGGTTATTATGTGACTCAAATAGGGTGCCACGGGAAAGAAAATGCTTTTTGTTCGACGACCTGCCACTGGGGGTTTCCAGGGCTGGGGGTGTGGGTCACTGGCAAGGCACCTGCCTCTGCTCAGGTGGAGAGCCCATCAAGGGAAGCCTTTTTGTTTTTCCAGAGATGGTCAAGGGGTCTTTAAAGATCTACCTCAAACTTTCTCAAACTATCTTCTAAGCAACACTGATGTCGTGAACATGAACAAAATCACTGCATCCAGTGCAAGGTAATGGGAGGGGAAGCTGTAGAGGACAAGAGGTATGTGGGAGTTCTGTGCGTGACTTTTCTATACACTTAAGTCTCCTCTGAGAGGCTGGAGATAGCTCAGCAGTGAGGAGCTTGTACTGCTCTTGGAGAGGACCTGAGTCTGGTCCTCAGCACCTGCATCAGCTGACAACTGCCTATAACTCCAGCTCCAGGGAATCCAATGTCTCCTCCCTGCTCACACCCCCCCACACACCATGATTTAAAAATAATATAAATATAAATATTTCATAATGCTCTAAAAATATCAACTCATTTTAAAAAGTGCTCAAGGTGCGCATGAGAATGATTTCTGACATTAAAATGTATCTGTAAAATATTTACTATACACGTTATGTATAAGGTCTTTGTTATTTTGATGAGATCAGCTTATCTGTGAGAGCATTCACTAACCCGTGCTTTCACGCCAGTGGATTAAACCCAGCAGCAAGGCAGAAACCATCTGTCATAATCTTGTAACTTTAAATCTGTCTGTGATTAATGTGATGAGGGAAATGGAGCTATTCTAAGCCAAGTTGTCATTTCTATCTTGTTTTCTTCTTGTCTAGTTTTGTTGTGCTTTGTGGCGCTGGGGTAGTGCCCGGCCTTCACACTTGGCTCGGTGAGCTCATTACCTGTCCAACCCTTGCATTTTGAGCTTGAGGACACAGAAATGTGGCAGTCCTGACACACTGCCCACCAACACCGGGGCGCTGTGTTCCAGCCCCCACTCTTTCTCCATGTGACCTGAGGAATGCTTGCTCCCTTTCATCCTTTCAGGGGCCTCTTCGGTTGTTTAATCTGCTATTTGGTTATCTTAAATATAATGGCAACGTCAATAATCCAAACCAAAGGACCGAGGTTAGCCCGCTTCCTTCTGACCCCAACGATGGCAGACGGTCGGGTTGGGGGCAGGCTCTGTGGAGACTGGAGCCTTCGAGCTCACTGCAAGCTCCTCAGGAGAGAGATACACCCTAACCAGCGTAATGACTTAGTGTCCGTGCTTACATCAGTTCTGGTTTTCAGTTACGGGCTCACATGTCCGGGGTAACAGGAGCACCACTGTTTACGCTGAGCCCACCCTCCCGCTGTGGGGCCGCACGGACACCCTTCTCCCTGAGCCAGGCATTTTTACCTAGCAAACAGCCTCGAATCACTTCCCACAACTCCTCTCCCCACCCATGCAAATGATGCGAGATTTATAGAGATGCCCTTTTACCTCATTCTAACTGCACCAAAGCGTTTTACCCCGTGAAGGATTTATAGCAATCCAAACAAACCTGAGGTCATTTCCCCGGCCCCAGCCTTCCTTTATCTATGGGGCACATGGTTTCCTGTCTGATTTTAGTCACAGACTGGAATGGTGACATCTTGATTGTCCCTTGACCTATCTTACCACCTTTCCAGGAGTGGCTGAGCCCGCAGCTTTTGTTAGAAATTAAGGAAGTAAACTAGAGGTATAGCTCAGCCAACTAGAGCACCTGCCAAGCAGGTGAGGGACTATGGGCTTCCGTGGCAGCACTGAAAGCAGAGAGAGAGAGGGGAATCACAGAGCATGAATGAACCCTGTGCGCTGGGTTACCTGACCTCATGGCGCCTGAAGAAATGGTGCATTGTCAGCACTTACAAGGCAGAGCCTTGGCGTCCGCTCCCCTCATTCTAAAGTTACCCTTGGCTGCGTGAGGATTAATACAAACTTTAGACTGTGACGTGGACAAATGAGTGAGGTTATAAGGCCCCCTGGGGTGGGTTTTCAATGC